TGCGGGGCCGAGACCCCGTGAGGGCGGGTTTCACCTCCCGGGCGGCCCCTCCGCTGGGAATGTGGCGGTGCCGCCGTTGCCTGGTCTCCCGCAGCGAGTCGGGAGTCGTTCGGCCCCTTCTGCTTTCGGTGGAGAGGGTTCTCCTTCTGCAGCCTGCCACGGCTGCCGGTGACGGTACCGGCGGGGGTTTGCGGGGTGCAGGCGGTGCCGCCGGGGCTTCGGGTTGTCTCGGAGTCGCGTCCGCTCCGCCGCAGGCCTTGTGCCTTCTGACTGAATAAGTTGTTGTAATTTCTGGTTTTTCTCGGCGTCTGTTACAGCGTTTGGAGCTGAGATGGGTTCTGGTTGCCTCATTTCGGTAGCTGGGATGAAGTTACATTTGAGCGAGCTGCATTTGCCTCCGGGTCCTACTGTGCGACGGTAGCGACGGCTGTAAAACTGCAGAGACGTAACTGAGGGTGCAGCCCCGCTCTCTTTGTTGTGGGGAGTGATGACACTCAGCAGAACAAGCCCTGCCGTGACTTTTATGTCACAGATTAATTCTGGGATGTCCAGCACATGGACATGCACACCGCCTCCAGAAGAATTGTGCTGTCTGTGAGCACGCAGTAATAGTCCAAATTTCATAATCTCCTGTTTGCAGTTATTTTCCACTTTAAAAACTGGATTTACTTATGGTATGACCAGGCAGTACTGTGAATCAGAGAGAGAACTGGCTGTCATTTCTGATTCCCGCTTTAGCTGAGAGCGGGGATGCTAGGCTAAAAAGGAGGCCAGAGGTACTTCAGCAGCAGGTATGCTAGCAGAAAGCGTGTTTTAAATGGAGAGAGGGTGTTCCTTCTGCCCCTTACACAGCTCTGATTCCTGTGTTGTTGATCTGTCTTCCTGGTTGCTTGCATCTGGTGAATACTCCTAACCCAAGTGACAATAATTGTAGGTTCACCGCAGGATATACAACTAATCTGTAGACTGTCTTATTAAATACTCTTCCTATAAGTAATCTACACTTAAGAAGTGTCTTTTGTGTGAGGAACTCACGTTAACTCATGTTCCAGTCTTCCTCTGGACAGAAGTTACCTATGAGAAATTGTCCATAAGATCTCCTGAATCTAGCAGGCTATGGCTCTCAACTGTTGCAACTGCTCTTGTAAATAAAACTAATGAGGTTTATTTTCTGACAAGCCTGATACTTTTTACCTGTTTCAATAGCTAAGGGGTGCAGGTACCAAGTCCTATGGGAAGTTGTATAACTTCTAATACTCCCCAGTTAGCAGTACAGATTACAGTTTCATTGTTAACTTGTTTCCATCATGCCTTATTACACTTTTCTGCTAGTGCAAATGACAATAGCTTTTTGTGTTCTTTCCTTTGGTTTGCATGATTCTGGTTAGGAAAAAGAAAATCACAAAATTCTTTTAGAATGAGTACTTGGAAGTAGTTTTTCAATCCAGACTCTGTGTTATGTGTGTTGTCTTGTCTGGGTGAGTGTGATAGCAAATGTTGCTCCCCCTCTCTGTCTTTCATATCTGTATTCTGTTACTAACGGATGTTCAGAAGAAATTCTCTGCTGATTTGTTCTGATCTTTTGTTAATAACAGAATGCTCGAGCACTGTGCCTTTTGATTTCAAATGTGTCTCTAAGATACATCTATTAGTAATTGTTTGTTTTGCTGCAGAAGCCCTGTTGATAGTTGAAAGATGGCTTGAAGTGTGTGTAGCACAGATGGTTTATATAGAGGCAGTGTGGGATAACAAAATACAGGAAGCCATAACAGAGTCTTGGTTTCTTATTTGATATAAGTCGACTATTTTGTCATTTTGGACACTTCATCTTATGTCCCTGGTATCTGAATAATTTGTTTATTGGTGGCTGATGCTGTCCCTGATTTGAACTTTCCTGGTTTAGATAAGCCACACAAATAGATCCTTGTGTTTGAAGAGGTGTGTAAATGAAGCCCTTCTAAGGAATAAGGGTTGAAGTGCTTTTATGGGGCATTAAGACTGTATTTTACTTTGTTATATTATAGATGTAAGGAAGTAGGTTGTCATTAGCTGAATGCTTTTTGGGTTTGTTCCTTATCCCACCTCAAAGCGATATCTTCAAAAGATGTAGATCTGTACAATTCTTCATCCCAAACTGATGCTTGGAGAACTAGGTCTTCACATGCTAGGCTTGTTCTAAAGCTGAAATACAAACGCATCCATAAATAAATTTTCTATTCTTTTGTCAGCAGTATGTATTAAGATTTTATAATGCTGCTTAGTGTTGCAAGAATTACTTTAAACTTGCATTTATAATTTTTTTCCTGTAGATCATTGCTTATAAGAGCACTTGCATGAAGATGGGTTAGGCCCAAGTTAGATGCAACTTTAACATGGCAACTGAACTAGTAATAACGTAAACCTTCTATGAGGGCAGAAAATAGCCAGTCTTCTGGATAAGCAGCTAAAGAAAAGGTGAAGAATTTAAGGAAAAGCTCAGTAGACATGGTGAAATACCACGCAGGAGACCAAAGTTTGTGTCAAATGAATAGTTTGCTTGTCTATTGTTCTAAGCAGCTTCTGTTAATTTAAATTTTATACAACAGACTGGGTAAGTGTAAACTTAATAGCATTGAATCAAGGGCAGAGGCTGAGTTTCTGTTTCCTGGGGATGAAGGTGAAACTAAAAAAACAAAACTGAAAACAAAACCTGAAACTGCTACATACTTCCTGAGTTCTCCAGAAACCTAAGAAGGGACAAAGCTAGTATTTAAAATGTACTTTTGTGGGCTTGTGCTTTTTGCTTAGTAAGAGCATGTCAGCCCCCTAGTAGACGTGGTTTTTAGATTGTTAGGGAATCAACTGCAAAATTTTCTAATATGCTCATAAGCTCTTCATGTTTCTTTCAAGTCAGAAGAGCTCAGAAGTTCTTACTTGAGTTAGTACATCTCAGCTGGTACATAATCTCCATGCTTTTGTGTTGCAACAAAGAAATTGTCAGCTGAGGTCTTCTTTTGCCTATTTATTTCTAATGGTAATTTAAGATTAGAATGATGCCTTTTCTTTTTTACAAAAGATGTTGCCCCAGTTAAGTATGTTACAAGCAGTCTGAGTTTTGTTGGAATGTGCACTTACATACAAATAATTCTATAGTGCAGTGTTTATGGAGTCCTTTTCATCTGAAAGCCAAATAAACTTATATTGCAGGCGCGTTCCAGTGGTACCTCACTTAATAGATTTGAAATTACATGAGCAAACGCTGTCAGCTTCATTTTGTCTCCTGCTGTATGCTTCAGTTCCTAGCACTCCATAGGAAGAGAGAGTAACTGTGTAACTTCGGGAGGGTGGGGAGCTCCTTTTCATAGGCATGGTTCAGTGCTTTTGGTAGGTATCTGCACCAACCGTTTTGCAGAAAATGAAGTTGTTTTGCTGCCATTGTGTTCCTTGAATTCAATAGGAGTGGAATTACATCCAATATATTAAGCCATTTGCAAGTGTCTCATCTTAATGCCAAATGTTGTGTTCTGACAACAGAGGCATTTTCAGCAGTAAAGCTTTAATAAATTTTGGCTATTGAACTTGCTTCATATTGCAATATTTCATCCATATATTCACTATTTAAAAGTGCCTTTCTTTCTAAGCCTTAAAATAGGATGCTATTTTCTGCCACAATAATCTAGACATATTCCTTAATAAGAAATGCATATCTGTACATACAAGTTTTAGAGCACTTTACAGCAGTAAAACTACTAGCAAGTTATACATATATTTCTGAACATTCCTTAATTCTTTTCTGAAATTATTTTCCTTTTTCATGCATTTCATGTTGAAATTGAAGTAGTGAAACAGCCAATTTTGCTACAGTACGTTGTTGTCTTAAAGGCATTTGGAAATGAACAGCTGAAATAAAATCCCTCTTGTAACATACTTTCAGAGTTTTTCGTTAAGCAGTGATGAATGTTGACACTCATAGCTTTCAGATTAAAAAAATGTTGAAAAAAGCATTTACATTTTTCCTATATTGTTCTGTGATACAAAAATGGAGCCATATGTTTCTAGAACTGTAGGATTTATTTTAAAAGCTTGTAAAGGACTTTGGACGTCTGCTTCATAAGAAATTC